TTTTCAGAATGAATTTTTTCACTATGTCATGGTATACATTATATATATATATTCCCCCCCCTTTGGTCTTTTTGACACAGGGTCTCACTATGCAGTTCAGGCTGGCCTTGAGCTCACTTTGTAGTGCATGCTGGCCGCAAACTCGCAATGATTCTTCTGCCTCAGCCTCCCAAAGGTTAGAATTACGGGCATATAAACACTATGCCCAGCCAGATTTATCATTTTTTATCAGGAAATCTTTATATACCAGATAGTTAAATACCACAGTTTAACTGACTGGATTTCTTAGGACTATGGTTTTCAAAGAGGAGCTAGAAGGGAATGAAACTTTTCTAAACTTTATCCCCCTATTCCAATGCCATTACTTCTACCATGAGGTGAGAATCACTGTCACAGCAAGCCGCTGTCGATGACCAGGGGAGTGGGTATACATCTCAGATATACCACATAAGAAAAATAATTATGAACTTCTGATAAAATGTATAAGACCAAAGCAAAACAAAATGATAGGAATGTTTCCTGGGGACTTAGAATTCACGTTTTTGTTTTGCAGTGATGGGAACTGAACCCAGGACCTCACCTTTGCTAAGCAAGCGTTCTCCCACTGAGTATTGGCTGCAGCCTTAGGACTTAGAATTCAAACTAGTAAGTTTTACACAACAAAAACATTCATACAGATGTCCAACACAGACAAAATTCTAAATGTTAAGGGGTAAGAACTATGGTAGAACACATATTTGGGAGATACTACAAAATATAAAAGAAACTGAGACAGCAGTTTACACACAGGTGTTACCAATGAGTGCTGGCTTGCTGCCAGCAACAAGATACCATCATCTCTCCCTGCTCTATCTCCAACCATAAACAGTGATCATATATCCCACTTAAAAGCTTTATTAAAGTAATTTTCCTAATGTCTGATAGTTAGACTTACACAAAGAGCTATTTCTACAGTTCCTAAGGAAACAATGTTTAAATACCAAATCAGAGTGGTTTTCTTAAAAATTAATAGCATGCTCTAAAAGAGAGAATGGGGCCGTGGACATAGCTCAGCAGCACAGCGCCTGCCTGGCAAGTGCAAGGTTGCAAGTTCGATACCTGGCACCAAAAAAAAAAAAAAGGTCTCTCTAATCTTTAAACCAGGTGTGGTGGTGCACCCCTGTAATCCCCGTACTCGGGAGGCTGAGGCAGGAGGATTGTTGTGAGGTCAAAACCAGCCTGGGCTACAAAATGAGCTGGAAACCAGCCTAAAATGCATAGCGAGACCCTGTCTCAAAAAGTAAAAAAAAATAAAAGAGAAAATGACACCTTAGAGACATTTTCAATTTATATGTTTTAAAACTAAGCCAGGAGTGGTAGCACAC